AACGCTATGACGGGAGTACGGACGACAGCGATTAAGTTAAATACTGTGGCATCTTATTCGGTTGTAATAGGAGCGATTTTGCAACATAAATGTATGGTCTGAAGTGTTGACGACTGTACAAAACATGAACACAACGAACGAATCACCGCGTTTGTGTAAGGTCAATCGCGTACTCGCTTGATTCGTTCACTTCCCACGCAAATCCAATTCGAGTCAGAGAGAATTCAACTCGAGTTAGGTCGAGTTAAGCCCAACTCGAGTTAACTCGAGTTAGTTACTCGAGTTGACACATCTTTAGTGCCTAGTGAGTAGTGCCTAGTCAAGGTGTAAAAGTAACGACAAATAGCGTACCCGTATGCATTCGTTACTATAGCATCAGTACTCGTTACTTTTGAATCGTTACTCGTTACTTTTGATACCCGATAACATACTCGTAGAGCATCGTATCGAGTCGTGTTGCGTATCTATTGCGTACGGTATAAATTATACGTTATACCGTATATCGTTGACGTCGCGTTGTTTTCTGTGGAATAATGCACGATCAACAAACCATTTCAATTGGAGAGTTACATGATATCCAGAACCCGTAAATTTTGATAATTTATAAATCTATATAATTTTTAAAAACTTTACTAACAATATTTTTTTATTAATAATTTTTGAAATTAAATAATAAATATAAAAATAGGTAATTTAAAAATGAATGAGTAACGGCATCTATCACGTTAGTGTGACGTCGTAATGCATATTTTATTTAAAATCAATTGCGCGAATGATTTATCAAATCATAATCTGTATGTATTACACATAATCACATGATCATGTCTCACGTAGGATAAATAGATAATTATTGTATTACAATATTGTACACAATTATTATTTTAAAAGGGCCGTTGTTGAGTTTCTCGCCGGTTCTTCTCAGCATTAACTTTATTCCGAGCCGGTGGTAGTTCCTAAGGGACTAACATTTAATTTTAATTTAAAATGTAAAATTGACGATTCAAAAGAGCTTGTAAAAGTTTATTTGAATAAAGTATATTTTGATTTCATTTGACATAATCATTTAGTAAAAATTATAAGTATTTGTTGGATAAAAAACTAAAAATGTGTTCTAAATATAATGGTTGTTTCTAAACAAAATTTCTAAGATCTGGAAATCATGCAACTCAAAATAAATAAATAAACTCTCTAATTTACTCATCAATGGTATTAAGTATTAACTGAAAGTTGTATTTTGCTGAATAAAAAATCAATAAAAACATTAGTACGAAAATATGTACGGAAAATGCGAGTAACGAAATGCATTCGTGAGTAACGTTTCGGTACTCGGTACTAGATGGCGTACCCGTTACTCAGTAACGAATACATACGGTTTGCTACAGCTCTAGTGCCTAGTGGTTACAAATTACAATTTACATTCTCTTTGATTTAGATTTTAGTTTTGAACAGCCCCGGCCGAGCTCCATACAAGCGCATATTCATAAAACCGAAGGCGAATAAGACGAAGCGGGGGCCGGGGGGGTCAAGATAGTCAAAGAAAGATTTTCCCTATTTAACCATTATAAATTAAAAATAGCTACATGGGATATGTTAATTAATATCTTATTATATTATAAAATATACTTAAGCTAAATATGCTTAAAATGTTTTTTTTTATAAATCATATGTGCTATATATTGATTTATATAATTATATTCTAAATGATTTTAACTATTATCGAATATCTTATATTTTAATTATATTTCATATCAAACATAAAATATCTATTAACATAGGTTTTTATGTTATAAAAATTGATTTATATTTTAGAGCTGTGTCATGAATTTGCCTTAATATGGGGACAGTTATGGCATAAATGGCAAGTCAAAATATGCTGTCACTTTCACGGCTATTGTATTTCTTTTGAGTCGCCACGCATCTCTTTCTAAGGGTATGACGTCATATGCGAATCTGGGAGAATTTAGTTCGTAGTGATGTAAAAATCGGTATTCATTACGATTACGATTAAGTAGGGATGTATTTTATCGTAATGTTATCGGTATTCAACAACTGTTATCGGTTTTATAGTAAGGTTTTCATTTTTATGATATTAATTATAATTAGAAATAAAATACAAAGATAGGTTTCTAGTTTTTTTATTTTACTATTTTAATGCTACCACTAGTTCGGAAAAATGCCTCAGACCTGAGAAGAATTAGCAAGGACTGAGGTCCTTGACAGGATAACCTTTTTTTTCCTAACATTTATAATACATTGTTATTACAATAAAAGGACATTTTTAAAGAATTTTATCAATTGAATACAAAATACAAAAGATATAAATTAGTACAACGATTTGGTATAAAATATTACAATGCAATAAAATTAGAAGTAACATAGAACAATAGTTTTTGTTAATAACAATATCATATTAAGCGAGTAGTAGGTTTAATTGTAAGTATAAATTAAAATCTAGCTTTTTTTTGAAGTTCTAGCTCTAGAACCACCTTCATCTTCAGTTTATAAAATGCAAAGATTCGAGATTAGCGCATTTGAAAAAACAAACATTTTAATCTTATATAAATTTAAAAAAAAATGCAAATTTCAGTAAAAAATGAATAATAAAATTAATTTTCTTAAAAGCTTAAGAAATTTAAAATCAATATGTACATAGTAATAGTAAAAATTTGGTGTAAAAAGAAATAACAGCTAAACATACTCTAAAATAAAATTTCTAAATGCATAGTTCTATCAAATGTAACAATTATAATTAATATATTAAAATTATATACTGCTATAGTAGTATATTTTAAGAAATTATAATATTATTTCACAGAAATCAAATGAAATATTCATACATTATTTTTATACTTAATAGAAACATAATGAAAATGGAAAATTCCAAGTGATTATCTTTTAAATAACCAAGAAATGAAACAAACAAGAGTAATAAATATTAAAAGTTAATTAATGAAAAAATATTGGAAAATCATTCACTACTCTGAAGACTAGATGAGTTCAACCATAGCTAGGCCCTTCTGAAACTTTCATATTAAGCAAATTTTCTATTTCCAGACCCTTTTTTCTCGAATCCACTTTATGTATTCTTCAATTAAAATTTATACACCTGTGTCTAACTTTTATACATATCATAAATAATGAGAATGCTCTTAAAAATATTTCTCTATGACCTACACAAGTGTACCAAGAGGTATCAAGATTTTCAAATGCTTTTATTAAATCGGGAAATATGTAAACTTTACAAATCTTTGGTAATTGTCTTTCAATTATGTAAATTGCATACCATACTAGAGATGACAGATTCTTAGAAGGATCATGTATTTTATTATTAATGAATAAAATAATCTCAGCTGTGAATAAGCCATTCTCAATATTTACATTTAATGTATTACAATAATTGTGTTCTTCCTGGAAACTAAAAGCCTTTATCAGGAGACTTATAGATGTTGAAACACTTCAACTGCTGAAACACCTGCGCAGCATATACTTCACCTGTAAATATATTATTATAATAAATTAATGTAATACAACAAATAGTCACCATAACTATATAGTATATGAACTAGTAACTACTGTGATGTGACTGTGAATAGTAGCTTATTTAAATATAGTAATAGTTTAGTATTATTAGGGTCTAGGTAGATAAGCCAATTAGGCCCTTAAATAGCTGTTAACATTATACAATAGATAGGCTATAGAGTTGATAAATTGTTTTTAATGGACTGAACATTACATGGATATGTGCATTCAAACAATAAACAAACTATTCAATTTTACATATTAGAATAGAATAGTATAATAATAAATAGTATAATAATATCAATAGCTTCAAGAAGTTTCCTTCTTAAAAACAATTTCATATTAAAGATAATATCCAAGATCTAAAGAAATATAATAATATCTTAATTTACTAAACTTAACAATATAGTTACCTTCATCTTAACAAACGAGTTTGGATAAATATGCCTGTCAGTAAGTTTGTTAGCCTTGCAGCACCTTTATGGTCATCTACTTTATACAACACATAATCCCATTGAGCATGCTGACTGCCAAGGAGCAAATTCTTTTTCTGAAAATTATTACTGAAACATTTCAGTAAATGAGGTACATCTTACTTATGATAGGTTTTGTTCCCACTTCCCATTAACTTCATAATGGATAGCACTTGATGCATCAATGGCACTACAAAGTATATTTACCTTAGTATCAGAAATTAATGAATTTATTGCAGCTACATTGGCAGAAACCTGGTCAGATAGAGTTACTCTAGAAATAAACCGTTTATAAGAATTTCTATAAGTATACGTTATAAAATTGAAGTGCATCTTTATAAGGCATTCGATGGCATGAAAAACCTTCTGTTCCTTCCTGACAATTCGGAATTACAATGCTTTCCCATGATTACACAACATTAATAAAAAACCAAAAAAAGGAAGAGAAACACTAATGAAGAAATAACAAATTTTGTATCCAAGCACAAATCTTAACTATATCACTGATCTACATTAATCAGCACTTATCCACATTAATTAATACTAATCTACAAATTGATAAAATGTAAATTTTAAGTGTAAAATAATATAAAAAACGGCAAGCCCTCACACCCTAGTCCCCAGGGGCGAGTATTCGAGTAATAACGACGGTTAAAACTTGAATATTTCAAAAATGACAAAATATTGCAGTGACGTCATAGTAGTGACGTATGTAACTGCGACAGAAATAAGTTGTTGTCCCACTCGTTGTCGCCAAATGTAGAGATAGCATGCTAGTTACCAAGCAAATGAAAGGGATAGATAGATCCACCAAGAGCTCGTATGGAACTAATTCATCTATTTTATTTGTCATCCATGGTTTTGAATTGTGTTCACGAAGTTATGTCGTGTGTCTTAACTTTATGTGTCTTAATTAATTTTCTTGAATATTATTTTAAATAAATAATTAGTAAGCTTTGAGTGTGCTACATCTCGAATCTTAGTACAGTAAAAGATTTTTTTATATAGCTTAATTTTAAGGTAAGAAATTATTTATTAGTTTCAATTATTGTATATGTAATTTAAATCAATGTTTGTTTAAAGTATGTAACATTGCAAATATATAATAGGGAACTCTATGATGTAATATTACTACTTCTTATGCTTACTGTATAAAATACTTCTGTTTATTTAAATTTATTCTTATTAACGCATGCATAAACTTAATGATAAGCAGAATTTAATTTAAATAATTAGAAAAAATATGTTACAAATGTGTGATGTAAGATTTCTTTTTAGACTGTTGTACAAATATTACTCGGTAATTAACTTTATCATTGAAATAGTTTAAACACTGAGAAGTATTAATCTGATACTCAAGCCATTCTAATTTAACATACCTTGAACGCTGATCTAGTTTTTTCAATTATATGCAAGCTCATGAATTCCAAACTTATGATGCTTATTTATACCATTTGTGGTAATTAGCAAAATCACAGGCTCTTAACACATTTCATAAACTTAGGTTTAGGATTTTATATTCTCTACTCAATCTCCATTTTGCCTTGTCAATGTTTTGATAGAAGAATTTCTTTGCAAATAAGTCTTTCTCATCTAAACTAATATTATAAATGTGAAAGTTCATGTGTATGGATGTATGGATATTTGTTACTCTTTCACACCAGAATGGCTGACCGGATCTGGATGAAATTTGGCACATAGATTATAATTGAATAACACATAAGCTACTTTTTATTTCAGTACTTTTAGTTCCCGAGGGATAAATTTATTTTTGTTCTTCCCGAGGCGAACCCGAGCGAAGCGAGGGTGAGCCGCTAGTGGTAAATAATGATGCTAGTGGCTAAATAGATTGTATTATAGGGATATTGTAAGAAATGTAACCATACTTTCCAAAATGCTCAGTGGTCAAATAAATTAATTTTAAAGCTTAAACTTGAATATTTTTTATATATTAATCTCACTATGAGGATAGTGATATATTGTAAAAAATTTAGGGTCCTATTTCCAATGGCTTAGTTCATAGTAAACGCTAATGCGTTGATTCAAAAATAGTCCAGAGACATAATTTAATATTAAATATGTACTTAATTTTTACTTAAATATAAATATCTTTTTTACACATTTTGTTTATCTCCCAGTCAACGAGACAAAAATTTAACACGTATCTCTCAATTAATGTAGTGACGTCCCTAAATTGTGGGTGTGTACATGTGACGCACTAGCATCAATTGCTTGGCCACTTATTTTAATAAATTGCAAGGATGTGATTGTTTGTGACCCACACTTGTTAAGAGTTAAGAGGTTTGTTTTTGACGATTGACGATTGTATGATACGTATTACGCTAACTCAGTTAACTATTTAGGGTTCCGTACCTCAAGAGGTAAGAAACGGAACCCTTTTAAGATCACTCTCTTGTCCGTCTGTCCGTGTGTCACCACGAATTTTCTCAGGAACGGGTAGACCTAGTAAGTTGAAATTTATACCAGATACTGAGGTCTATAGTCCCTTTTGGGTGTATAAAAATCAAGGCCCTGAGTCAACATGATAAAAACATTGGGCATATTTAGATTTTTGCGAAAACTTGTAAGTACCAAATTTTCGGAATTTTCTCTTTATTTGTGCTCTTTATTTGTGTTATTTTAAAGACCTTGCTTTTAACCAAAATTGTCAATTCTAGGCAGGGTTCGAAACGATAATTATCATTGATAATTATCTTTGATATTTATCTTGATAAATATGGGTTGATAATTATCTTTGATAAATATAATTGAAAATATTTATTTTGTAACTCTTCAAATTGTCGATCAGCTAACTGAACTCTCTCAATCAGCTCAAAAAACTCAATCAGTAAACTGAGTTAATGCAGTTGAGGAGGATGAGGATGATATTCCACTCATTAAGGAGTCTACCCACTACACCGTTTCATACCATGACCGTGCTATGAATGTATCAGGCACGGAAACAAGCGACACACTACTATACCCACTAGAACGTATCATTCGCGTATCAACCGCGTGTCATATGCTGTTCACCTGTGTTTTCACGTGCAGCAGCTGCGTCGGGAAGAGCGAATGAATATTTTTGTTACGAAAATTATTTCCTATCCCTATACGATGGCTATTAGAAACTTGTCCGACACAAAATTAACAATGATAGCCATTGTTTTAGACGTGGAAGAAAGAGAATAACATTAGTCGATCACGACGTTACTAGGTTCACGCTGTTTTAAAAAAAAAATTAAAAGAAAATATTATCACTAGAAGAAAAGCGACAACACGTTTATAACGGGCTTAGAATGGTCATCATACGCAGTTATAACCCGTGTGCTCACCGTTTCGCCGACCGCGCGCACCGGTTCGGCAACGTCGCGTGCCAGGCACGGAGCGTATCGGCACCGGCAAAATATTCTTGCCGACAATTATTGTTAACTTTCCATGCACGGCACGCGACGGTGTTGGTTGGTGACGGAAAGATCTTGGTCGGTGATGGAACGGTCTAGTGGGCATAGTCTCCTACTTTTCAATACAAAGAATATTTTTTTGCCTGACACGGTCCTGTTATGGTCTTAGCACGGTCATGGTATAAGACTGTATAGTGGGCAGAGACGTTTAATTTAATTAAGTAGTGTCTAGGTATATAGTTGGTTAAATTTATTCTGTTTTCATTTCATAGTTTGTATATGTCAAAATAATTAAAAAAGTATAATAATAAAAGATTACCTTTATTATTAAAAGTGTATAATTTATTCTAACGTAAATTATGATAGGCAAGTTGTCAAATACCAATACCTACATAAGGATTGCTAAGTTTATATCTGTTTGATAATTATCTGATAATTATCTTGATAATTATCGCGATTATTATCAGAAAATATATTTATCTTGATAATTTCATACCCTGATTCTAGGTCAACCGGAAGTACCCTATAGGTTTTTGGGTCGAAAACCTATATGTTAGTTCCCGTTGACCTAGAATCACATTTGGCAAAAAGCAAGGTCTTACAGCACAAATAAAGGAAAAAATCCAAAAAATAAAAAAAGTTGATTAGGTATTAAAGTTAAACAGATTTCCTACAAATTTGTACAGAACGCTCGGTGGGCGAGTCCGACTCGCACTTGTACGTAATTTTTTAGATATGTATTTTATTCTTAACTGGCGACTCACCCTCACTTCGCTCAGGTTCTTCCATAGTTACGTTTTGATGCTTAATATGCCATATATCTTATTTTTAATTTTTTTTTAAATAAAAAATAAAACTTTTATCAATAAAATTAAAATATCTTTGATTCCAAAATACCTCCTACTATATAATATGGTTATTGGAATGATATCTATACTGGAATAGTCCTTTAAGCGTGCAAATTTTATCTGGAAAAGATTTAATAATAGGCTAAATTTTAACTCAGGTACTCAAATATCCCCATTATAAGAATGATTGCACCATAGAGCTTAAAAATTAGGTATTCACCTTGTAAGTTGATAACAAGTGTAATGACTTACTCTTCATCAACAACATTACAGATAGTCATGGTTGTTAAAAATTACTCCTCAGTTGATTTCGTTGTAGTATTATACTAATTAATATAATATCCAAACTTGAAAACTTAATATAATAAATGTGAAAGTGTGTTTGTTTGGTTTATTCAAGAGCATTAATAAGAAGTTTCAAGTAATTCTGATCATAAATATTTTTTTGGATTGTATTATAACGTCTTATTCCGTGGAAATTAGATAATCTTCCGCGGTAAAAAGTATGTCTATGCCTATGTCACTCTCCAGCCCTCCAACTATCTCCACACAAAAATCACGCCAATCCGTCACTCCGTTTCGACGTGAAAGAAGAACAAACAAAGAAACACACATTTATAATAAAAAAATAAAAATAAAGTTAAATAATATTAGTATGGATAAGTATTTATTGGTTACTTTTTTAAACTATAATTTAAATACATCATTATAATTTCTTAAAAATATAATAATCTCGAATCAGTGTTATCTCAAAGAACACTTGGAAGCAATAATAATTTATGTTCAATTATTACTTACAATAATAATGTATTTGTTTATGTTAATGTTGCAAAAAGATCGCCTACCTCTTTAGTGAAATATTTTCTTTATAAAATATTTGTGCACCACAAAGATTATTGACCTTTGGAAAACAAGTTTTAAATACGAAATCCTATCTACCTGAATATAGATTTGGGGTTCTTATAAATTTTATTTTGTGAATCTAAAGTTAGTTCAACCATTTCATGTGGCAAGATAAAAGCTATCTTAAATCCTGATACCCTCAAAATATAGTTAACTAGCGACTCACCCTCGCTTCGCTCGGGTTCGTACCTAAGTACGTTTTAACTTTTTTAACGGAACCCTAAATCTTTTTCTAAAATAAAAGTAGCCTAAGTCCCGTCAAAATCTGTCCAGCCGTTTCGGAGATTAGCCGGAACAAACACAGACAGACAAAATGTTAAAATACGTATTTTTCTTATAAATACCGTATACAATTTCATATGAATTTAGTAAAAACAGTTATTTTGATATAACAAACAGATACTTCAATTTTATTTATCTGTAGAAGTTGTACGACCAAAGTCCTATGTCCGATTTCATTGTTTTTCTAATTTTGAAATTAAAATAATTCTTATAAATTTTTTCTAGCAACGAAAATGGAGGCACTCGGCGATATTTTGCAGCCTTACAAGGACCCAGTGGCGATAATTACACGTATCGTCACTATGGGTCAAATGTTCTCCGGAGCTTTCATTTGCTTAGACATTTACAAGCAAGGTAGCACGAAGGGAATAGGGATTATGCCCTTCCTAGGCGGTCTTATAATGTAAGTATAATTTGGTATTAAACTATTCACCATGTATTGTCGTCGAATTTATGAGCCAAAAAAGGGCGAACTTCCTCCTTTAATCTAGTTGTACGCTCTATTTTTAAGGCTAACTGGACAGATATTATCCTGTTTATTTCAATAATTTTTCTATGGCCTTTGAGTTCATGAACAAATGCTATAGAGAAAATCACTTTTAGTTTTTACCGGGTTAACCAATTTTCAGATGAACTATTTCATTTTTCCCTAAAAGTATTATTAAAGTATTAACCGCCGCGCTGGCGTGTCCGCTGTCGTGGAGGGAATATTATAAAACCTTAAGCACATAAGCAATGACAAAATAGATCTATATTTACGTTCATATCGCGAGTTCGATTCCCGCCCCGGCCAAACACTTGCGCCGTCTAATAAGCATTTGTTGATATATCTAACTGCCTATTTAAAAAAAATCACGAAAACAACAGATAACTGTCTATTTTAATTTTTTTTAAAGATCCACATTATTACAATTTACAAATAGCTATCTTATTTGTTAGTGTCATATTGAATCTAAATATTTGAAGTACATTAACAGCATCCATCATTGTTTATTGTAATTTATGATTCTTGATTTAACAATGCAATTAGTAACCCGATTCCCAACGGAATTATAAGTAAATGGACTGAGACACGATGTTAGACACCAATCATTACCTACTTCTAGATATAAAATTACAGTGTATTTATTATCTGTATAATCTGTATAAATATTACAAATGGGAAAGTTTGTGAGTATGTATGGATGTATGTTATTCTTTCATGCCAGAACGGCTGAACGGATCTGAATGAAATTTGGCACAGTGATAGATTATAGTCTGGAGTAACACATAGGCTTTTTATTCCGGAAAAACATATGGTTCCCGAGGGATAGATTTGTTTTTCGAGCGAAGCGACGGTAAGCCACTAGTCTGAAATATGTGACTCTTGACTTGCACGACGATGGCTTATTGTGGTTAAAAAAATAACAGAAAATATCTACTTTTGAAGTTAGATCATTACGATTAGAAAAAAATAGAATTATGATTTCATCGTTCGTAATTAATAATTAAACTTTCATTTTTAATTTAATAAAAATTGTATTGTTTTTTGCTTTTGCTTTAAAGACTGTAGACCTGTAATGTTATCTTAGACAGCCTAACCTTAACCCTTGATAAATAATTCAAAGGGAATCTTTCAAACTGAACAGTGGTTCCAGTGATAGCGCTTTAAAACAAACAAAAAAAAACAATTAATTAAAAAAAAAAGAATTTAAACATATATTTACACTACACATTTTAATATATTATTATTTATTTAAAGGTTAAAGAATGCTATGTTCCTCTGGTACAGTAAAATAGAAGAAATCATATGAAACAGGACTAACATTTCTCATTATTTAAGGGTCCGTTTCTCTATATGTATTTTTTGTGTAAATGTTGGTACAAAGAAAAAATTTATTTTTTTATCATAATAAAAATTTAATTATATAGGTATGTAATATTTGACTAAAATAAAACTATCGTTGGCGGATTCATTTTATTTTTTGGTTCCCGTCGTTTCGAATGCTTTACAGCAAGCATGATCACGGGAGAAACAAAATCCGAAAAGATAGTTTTATATAGGAATATTCTAAAATTTTATCACTTCATCTACAGGGGTGTCCTCAATTTAAAATTCGGCTTCATGCTCCGCGACGACACAATGATCCAAGTAAACTTTTTCGGTATAGCGCTAAGTATTATTTACTTGATGGTATACTATACTTACTCTAAGGATAAATTTGGGGAGGTCTGGCTCAAGACGGGCACGGCCCTGGCGGTGTGCGTCGGGCTGATTGCGTACGCGGAGATGGAAGACCCTAAGCTCATTGAAAATAGATTTGGAAGTATTATCACAGCGTTCATGTTCTATTTGATCGCTTCACCATTGTTTAATTTGGTAAGTTTTTTTTATATATTATGTATGTTTTAAAATAAAAAGTAAAGTATTATTATGTATGTTCTTTTTTTTCGTAATTGCTAAAGAAAATTGGATAAGGGGCCATTTATAATTACGTAAGGGACCTGAAGGGGCGGTTCTCAAAATTTCTACATACCCTTATCTCTGAATGAGGGAGAGGGGAAGGAAGGGGAGGGGGCGAGGAAAAAGCCATTCTTACGTAATATTTTATAAGTCGAAATGTGCGATTTCTAACGTAGAGTGATGAATATTTGAGAGCTAAGCGCTGAGGAAAATAACTCGTGAGATCTATTTTTTTCTTTTTTAAAGTACAATTTTAAAAATAAAAACCTTTAATTTATGTCAAATTATGAGTTTTAGTGTAGTTAATTCTTTTCTAAAACCAGATAAAATCTTACGTAAAAAGAGGGAAGAAGAGTTCTAGAAGTCTTATGTGCCCTTATCTGGGTAGGAGGGGTCAAAAATGACAAAATTGGTCTTTACGTAATTAATGAATGGCCCTTTAAAGCTTTTGCTGCAAATGTCATTAAATGAAATTTACTTAAAAAAAAAGTTGACGAAGTAATCTGCTCAAACTGGCTACAACAAAATTGAATTGAATTGAAAAAAGTTGTCAAAGTAAAAAACCTCTTGGATTTTTAAAATTTTTTCAAATATTTTAATCTGGTTAGTTTGCCCTTCATAAGACCTTTATTTAAAAAAAAAAAAACAAAGACATTTTTTGAAAGTCGACACTCCCCATTCGTACTCAAAAACTTTGGAAACTGGTTCATCAGGTAGAAAAAGCATTTGATATTTTTGGAAATGTGTACCTACAGAAATAAAAAATCTTCATAACGAGTGTTAAAATGAAGTCATGTTTTTTAATGCTGTACATAATGATTCACCAACACACACATTTTCACAGCTTATATAGCTTAATATGTATAGCAATATTTAGGTTTCACTTACGAAAATATTTGATTTTTTTTTCTAAACTAGAAATAAATATGTTGCAATATATACTTAATAGTTATTAAGTATCTATTGACATATGATAACAATATTACATACGAAGTGTATATTCTTTGTCGTCGTTTTAAAACAATATTATTCGCCTAAAAATCCCAGTTTTCATGTAATTTCTTCGTTGAAATCCAACTTATTTCTGTCACAAGTTATTATTGCCTTATGTAATATGATTTTTAAGCATTGTTGTTATTGTTATAGAAAAATATAATCAAAAACAAGAGCACTGAAGGCATGCCGTTCCCCATCATCTTATCTGGAACCGTCGTGACCTTCATGTGGCTTTTGTATGGAATCATCTTGAAGAATAAGTTTGTTGTGGTGAGTTTGTTATGAATTTTAATTATATTCACTATTAATAATGTTAAAGTTTGTGTGCCTGTGCGCGTTTGTGTGTATATATGTTCGTGTGTATGTATGCATGTGTATTTGTGTGTGTGGGTAAGTCGCAAATCTATACATATTACATAATATAATAAAATTCTGAGTCGAATCTGTACATTAAATATTTTTTGAATAATCTTAATGAAATAGTCATTATTATCGATACAGAGGCCGAATCTATAGTTTCAAAAAATTTATCTGTCTGTCTGTCTGTGACCGCATCACGGAAAACCACTAGAGGAATTTTTATGACATTTAGTATTTTAGTATGATGATAGCTGGTTATCCGGGTCAGCATATAGGATACTTTTTACTGCGGGAAAATATCTTATCTCTGAAAAATCTACACTAAACGTTTAAACGTAAGTAGGGATAATGTTGTGTCGCTAGTGTTGATTTAACAACAGCACTGTAAATAACATTTTACAGTACTCAATACCCATAAATATGCATATATTTGCGTGTAAATTGCTGCACAGTAATCAATAGAACTACCTACACATTACACAGCAAATTGCATGCGTACATGCCGTCACTAGGCTTGCAGACATTTGGCAACACCTAGTTTTATATTATATCAGTACTTTAGGTACATATAGTATTTTTTGTATGACATGACAAATGGTTTTATAATTTATATTTACAAAATGAATATTAATAAATAATAAATGTTTACTTATGCAGTGCGTGATAGATATTTTTTATAGACGCTGTTTATGTAATATAATGATAAGGTGATGACGTTCCTCCGTAAAATTTGTGCGAATATTTTTATTAAGTCACGTTTTAAATACATTATAGCAAACATGGTTACGGGAGGGAAACTGATTTGTTAAGTATGAGAAATGGCACCGAATTACCGAAATTTGAGATGTCAAAAACTTTACTCCTGCGATCATTTTGGTTTTTCCGGTAAAGCATTTAAAACGTCGGGAACAAAAAAAACCTGAAAAAATTATTATCGTTGAAATTCACTTAAGAATCAAACTTTTTCGTAGTCAAGGGGTCTTTCAAGTTTTATGGAAGCAGAATTTTAGTGATTATGAACGCCTCCCTCCCTATTGTCAGCAAAAGTAAACAAAGCTATTACTCCTCCACTCCTGTGCTTATGTAAACATTACGTCTCAATTATTTTGGGGAATCTCCGATATGCGTTTCACTTTTGAGCATAGACAAGTACGGTTGTCATGTGTGTTCTGAACACTTTAATTTAACAAATCAAGATTACAAAATTTTAATTAATTAAATAAATAAATATTGCTGACGTAATCAACTTCCAGATGCCCCACCTCCTCCCTCTGTCCCCCATGTCGTCTAAAATAAGAACGCTCCCGCAAACCGAGTATATGACGTTAGTAGGTATATAAAACTATCGATAAAAAGGTGAATAATTTAGGTTTTCTAAGCTACGCGCTAAAATGGCGCTAAAGGCAATAAAATAAATATCAAGAACAATATATTTATATATTACTAGCAGAACCCGCGGCCGAAAACTGCAAAAAAAAGGAATGAATTTCGAAAAATGCTAAAACACGTATTTATTTATTTGTAATGAAGAACAATAATACCAAGTTTCAAGTAATTCTGATCATAAATATTTTTTTGGGTTCTATTATAACGTGTTTTCCTGTGGGAATGAGATAATGTCCCGCGGTTAAAAGTAGCCTATGTCACTCTCCAGCCCCCTAACTATCTCCACAGAAAAAATCACGTCAATGCGTCACTCTGTTTCGACGTGAAAGAAGGACAAACAAACAAACAAACGATCGGTTTCGGGGGCGATAAATCGATCTAGATTAGTCTTATGTCTGAGAAAACGCGTGTTTTCGAGATTTCATGCAGTTTTCTTTTGCATTATTCCACGCAAATTATGGTCAGTAATTTGCACGCTCGGGCATAAGCATCGTGGTCAAGCAGCCAAGGTGCAAGATCAACAATCACAGGTGTCGAGGTTCGAATCTCGGTCACATACAAAGTTTTTACTTTTGTTTTTTTTTTAAATATTTATTCAAGTTTTTAGTTTAAAAAAAATGTACCTTAGGCCAAAAACTCCAAGCGAAGCTCGGTAGTCCAGGTACTAAAATTGTAAAATATGAACCTATTACGTGTCTGGAGATAAGATGAAAAGGATAAACGTGAAAGATAATTAACTACTGCTATCAGATTATATTTATATATTTTATAATATGTATGACGTATGTATTTTAAGTTATATAAGTATGAGTCATGTATCAACTATCTGGTATCTATCAGGCCTCGTAGCTTACCATGGAACTAGATGGTGCCGTATGTTAATGTCCCAACATATTTATGCATTTTATTTATATTTTTTATGACATTGTTCAGATTTACAACTACGAGTAAGTTACGCCCGCGGCTTAGCTCACATTACCTCGCCTCAAAATTAATGTTGTGCCGTAAAAATAAGTACATATATCAATAATATTTCTCAATAATTCAATATTTTCTATTGTTTTCATAGCCTTTCTTAATTGTAAGTAAATAACTCAAAAATCTTTTAATATATGTATAATGTATATCCAATTTATTAATTTTCTATTATTATTATCTTTCACATGTTTTATTCATGTGTTTCATTTTAGTAAATCCAAACAAACGGTTGCGATTGAGTAGAACGGAAAATAATAGGGTTTCGATACAACGGTATAACGGTTTCCAAAAAGTTTCTATCGGTCTGTCAAGACCCCGTTTTTAGGGTTCCGTACCTGAAGGGTGCCAACAGAACCTTATTACTATGCCTCCGCTGTCGGTCCGCCTTTCCGTCTGTCTGTCTGTCCGTCTGTCCGTCTGCCCGTCTACCCGTCTGCCCGTCTGTCCGTCTGTCTGTCGTCTCATAAACCGTAATAGGTAGAGAGTTGAAATTTTTACAGAGTATCTATTTCTGTTGCCGTTATAACAACAAATAATAATAATAAAAAATACGAGAAACATTTTTTTTAAGTTCGTAATTGATCATCGAAGTTTCCATATATATACTACATACATAAAGTAAAAGTCATATTAATATAGAGTAAATGTACAATGGTACGGAACCCTTCGTGTGTGAATTCAATGCACACTTGACCGATTTTTTTAATTTATTGATTTTCTTACTAATAATCTTATAAGTAAATATTTATGGCAACTAATCCTTCTATGGCTTAGCGTAGTAAAAAAAAACATAACTAAAATGGGATAATTGTTAAAACCTACGGACCTTGACCGGCGTCTGAACTCTGGGTGGTGATTACGTCAGTAATATTAATTTATTTAAATAACTAGCGACTCACCCCCTTAAGGGATGATTTCCGGGATAAAAAGTATCCTACGTCCTTCCCAGGGTCTCAAACTTTCTTCTTACCAACTTTAATCTAAATCAGTTCAGTAGGTCCCGAGATTTCCCTCTGCGTCACAAACTTTACCTCTTTATAATATTATAGTCCCGGATACCTGACCTATTTTTGCAATTTGATTAGCATCAAGCTAAGTTCCCGTAAGTAGCTTCATTTTGATGAGACACCCAATTTTTTCTTACAAAAATTCTAGCAGCAGGCTTAAATTCTAGTATTCTAGGGTAGGGCATGGATGAAATATTATGTCGATTTGACGATTCTCAAAAATATTACTAACTGTGGGTTTTTTGATTAAATCTTAAGATAATTATTAACATTATTTAAAAAAATATGGCCTACAAAATGTATGGTTTGATCAAAGAGTCCCCTTTCAACATGTATCGATAACGAGGTCATTAAAAATGATTACTAACCAGCGATTTTTTTACAGTTACTTAGTTAATATTTAGTACCTTGGCCATCGAGCTTCGCTCGGCGTTTTTGGTTATAAAGTACAATTTTCTTTAAAAAAAAACTTGAATAAATACAAAAAAAAAATTATACCTTTGTACCCGACCGGGATTCGAACCCGGACACCTATGATTGTCAATCTTGCTTTTTTTTTTAAATACTAAAAACTTGAATAAATATTAAAAAAAAAATAAAAGTAAAAATTTTGTATGCGAGCGTGCAAATTACCGACCATATTTTGCGTGGAATAATGCAAATAAAAACTGCATGAATGATGATTGACATGACATGACGATTTTTTGTATTTATTTGTGACTTCTGACCAGGATTCGAACCCGGACACTTATTCACTCTTGCGCCTTGGCCGCTTGACCATGATGCTTATATCCGAGCGTGCGAAATTATCGAACATAATATTTTGCGTGGAATAATGCAAAAGAAAACCGCATGAAAATTCGAAAACACGCGTTTTCCCAGAGATAAGACTAATCTAGATCGATTTATCGCCCCCAAAACCCCACGCGTACTAAATTTCATGAAAATCGTTATATATATACATATACAACAATTGCTCGTTTAAATATATTAGATATAATTTAACAGCCACGTTTTCCTACAAATTGTGTGGTACATTATCCCGGTCCTACGCTTAGAAATTGTTAATACAACGAGACCATTTTTGTTATTTCTGAAAATTAGCTTGATACTAATCAATTGTAAAAGTGGATCCGGTATCCCGGACTATTAGTATAGATTTAAATTTAAATAATTAACTTTTGCTGACAAGGGGAAGGGAGGGAGGATTTAATAATTATTACTAAAATTCTGCTTACGTAATACTTGAATGATCTCTTAGTACAATAGGCTATTTTGTATTTCTATTTTTTGCTTTCTTTTTTACTCCATTATAATATTTTTTTCATTAAAGAATACAATGTTTTAATTCGTTTTATCTTTCACGAGCATGTACCTAACTAACGCTGTATTTACAAGTAATTGCTAAATGTATAAAAAAGTCTTAGAATTTAACCTTAACCTGCTTTTACTTATCATATCAATTTGGAACAGTTCTATACATACTGTATTTCGTAATATAGTTCAATTGGAATCCTGTTTAGGAACAAACAAATTAAAACCTAAAGTTTTATGGCTTTAGACGTTAGCAGGTATATAAGGAATAGAAATTCGTAAAATGCCCCACATGCCCAGCTACCCCCGAGAAATAGGGCATTAATTTCCGGCTTACTGTGACGTTCCATCGAAAAATGTTTTCTATAAAAGTTGTAGTTCTAGTAAAAATATACAATTTTTATAAATTAACTTTTGTAAACTAACTAAGATTCTAAAATGGTTTTTTCTTGTTTCTCGAGTAGTCACGAGCAAGTGCGCCCTCTGGTGCCCGCTTATCGTTGAATTTTAGAACACGTTGTATAATTGGTTTATTACACTTTATTAGATTTGAAATTTTAGTAAAATATAAACAAAAAAGTATAAATAAAAAAAATTATCATATTTTTTCATCATAGTAAAAAAACAAAGTCGTTTTTTTATGCTACATCACAAATCTTGGTACATAATCTACAGAACTAAATATTTTTAAAATTTGTTAAATACTATGGTATATCTTCAGATAGATAAGATAATGTAACTTATACATACATAATATCAGTAATATTTATCTATTGTTAGTGATCGAAATGATTATTCGCATATTATTACTAATTCTTATTAGATATGAGCTGACGTATAGACTTATCTCATTACATCAAATCGTTCATTAAGTATTACCACAGATTAAATAATACTAGGTATTACTATATAGCAAAAAAAAAGTTGGAAATACTTCCATTAACAGCCACTTCCAATCTACAGCCATACATACGTCTGGCTGTAGATTGTGAATTGGGTTCAAGACCTGGGTCAGGCTAGAACAGTAGTTTGGTTTTTTGCTGTAATGAAGCTCGCTAAGGCTAACTACATAGAATTAATTTAAGAATATTTTTAATTTTTATCAATTTGAAAATAGCTCGGAGAGCCATTTTTATAAATGCTTGAGTGTAGCATGATTGAGTCCTAACATCTAGTAATATTTTTTTTTTCTTTACAGCTTCAAAACGTGGTAGCGTTTGTTCTCTGCGCATTCCAACTTGGCCTCTTTGTAGTGTACCCGTCGAAACCCAAGAGCAAGGCCAAGGAAAAGGCCAAGGCGAAGAAAGCCAACTAAATAGAAAACATGTATAAATAAAATAAGAATAAAACCTTCTATTATTATTAATATATATATATATATATATATATATATATATATATATATATATATATATACATATATCAAACAAAATACATGTGGGTTGTCAGAAGTATATTATATTAGCGACTTACCTTCGCTTCGCTCGGGTTCGTCCCTAGCTTGATTCCCCATACAAACTTTCATCCCCATTTTCACCCCCTTAAGGGAGATTATTTTATCTCGGAAACATCCTTTAAGGGATTTAAGTATCCTATCCGTCCCAGGGTTTCTAAACTATCTTTTTACCAAATGTCATCTTAATCGGTTCAGTAGATCCAGAGATTACCCCTTACAACGTCACAAACTCACAAATTTTACCTCTTTATAATATTAGTATAGATAGTTGTTTTATCTACTTTTTGATAACCTTTAATATCTAAAATCTGTTTCTTATCATTTTTTTATGTCAATTCCTTATTTAAATTTTATAAATCGAATCCGTATCGCTTTAATAATTCGACACTACGACAGGTAACAATACCAGTATAATACAATATAATAGTTGGTATATATAATTATATAAGCAATATAAATTTAGTTATCTATTATCTAAGAATTATAAGATATCCAATAATCAGTCACGCTAGATCGATACAACATATACCGATTTTTGACATACGAGTACATTACAAATCGCATAATATTCCTGTATATGAGTGATATGAAATGAAAGCAATCGATATTTAAATAATTGATTATTAACAATTAAGTGCTGCACCACGGTAATGTTACATACAGTATTCCATCTTCATACAAACGGTCGGAAATCGAGTTATACTTACGCGCGTCGCGTTCGGTATACACTCGGTAGACAACCGTGCGGGGCTGCCACATCGTATAATTTGATACGAAAAATTTATAAGATAGTTATGTTATGTAACTTTTATAATTGGATACAAAAATAAACATTTTATTCCTCCCGTAAATTCGCTATTATGTCAAACAAAAAAGTTTCGAGACAACGTATGTTTTAAAAATAAAAACTAATTAATTAAATTAAAAATAAAAATTAAAAGTATTTTTAATTAAACTTTTTATTCGAATGCGGATTCTTTGTACTATTAAATTTAACAATAAAGCTTTTCGTATGTCTCAGTCGAGGTGCAAATATTTTTATATATCTCAAATTTATAAGGGTCACATACCACCCTTATAAATTTGAGATTTTTTAATTAAATCTACTAATAATATTTTTTAAATAAAATATATAATATTTGAAATCACAAAACTAGAAAGAAACTCAAGTAGGTTGGTGAAATTAAAATACTGGCCGGCGGGCACTCGGGCAGCCATGTCGCGTGGGTACGTGCCGCTCGGCTATAGGTAATTATTTCAAGGACAGGCCCGAGTTGGAATACTGTATGCATTACATTACCGTGGCTGCACTAAGGACGATTCTTACTATAAGTGATAAAAATGATGTTCCTTTTTTGAATTTAACAATAAGATGTCGACACCTGAAAGGAATAATATTGCAACTCAGTGTTGTATAATTTTGAATTCAGAGTTTAGAGTTTATTCTAAAATATCTAAATATTGAGTTACAATGTTGATCATTACAGGTGTATATAAATTTACCGCATAAAAGCAAAAAAAAATGATGTTTTAAAAATATTTTACTATGTATAAACACAAAGATATGGAAAAATCTTATCTATTAAATAGAACTATAGAATATAGATTCAAAAGAGCGATGTACAATACATGATATTATATGTATTTTGATATATTTATATTATTAAATGCTAATTTTTTCAAATAATACTGCAATATGCACGTTAGTTTTAAAGTATGTGATAAATAAAAAAAATAGTTCATTTATTTTAATATCGGGTTTCCAGAGGAGACAGTTCTTCCGATTCCTAAAAACATTATTTAACAAGCATTTGGACCTCACAAGGTAGGTATCGGAAAAAAATCATTTTTACTAAACCTTCTGTAACTTGCATTCCATTGAGCGATCTCGCAGGCTCACCAAACCTGGCCTCCCAGAAAAATTATTTTTTCTAATTTCTTAATTTTTACGTTTCGTTTCGTTACGTGTCGAACGTTTGTTCTTGATGGTTCGCCATAAATAATTGTTGGTCTGTAAATTGTTTATTTATAAATATTTTTTTGTTTAGTTATTTTGAGGGTATATTTTTGAATAATTAATTTAAAAATAAACAATTTACGGACCAACAATTATTTATGGCGAATAATCAAGAACAAACGACGAACGACATGTAAAAATAAAAATTCTAAAATTAGAAAAATAAATATCCTGGTGGAATTGGTTTGAGTTCTTTTTACACAAACTCTTTTTTCTCAACGTTAAATGCTATTATACCTTCTGCCGTGACAAACCCACTACTAGTAAATCCAGCTCAGGTCCATTACCTATTTAGTATTTAGATAATATGAAATTGATTTATTAACCTTTTTTTATATTTATTCAATATTTTTAATTTTTAAATTGTAGCAATAACAATTTTTTATAACATATTTTCCATGTAATACCTATAGTTATTTATTAAAAGATATTAATCATTTGACAGATACAAAGTTTATTAAAAATAAATCTTTTTATATTTTTTATTACTTTAAATTATTATAATATTTTACATATAAGTAAATTGCATATGAAGCACGAGCTGGTTACCCATTTTGTGATATTATATCAATGTGTTATGACTTATGATGCATTTGTGAGATTTTTTATAAATAAAGGTTTTAGAATATGTAATGATTTTCTTTGCCTCTTTTTTCTCTTGAATATTCAACTAAGCTGTTTCTTTCTATCCAATATTTAAATCCATGATCTTTAGATATTATCCTGCTATTAAGAATGAAGTCATTCTGTGTTTCCAAGTGTTTGTGAGACTAAATTTTTCCTAACTAATATCCACAGTATAAAAATCCATACAGTAAGCGATCTAGAAAAAAAATTGTGAGACGTCTATATGGTTGAGCATATTAAACAGCGCTTAGCTTAAACTGGCGCACCCTGGTAACAGCTAAACTCTGCTACTTTTTTTAAAAAATAATTAGGTTTCGGCGCAAAAAAATTACCATCCATGAAATTGTGAACAAACTCCGCGTAGGTACCTACCGCGTTGGGATGCACCTAAGCGAATCGGGGATAAGTCGTTTGTCTACCTATATGGAAAGACCTATATACATATATGTTGAGACATTAACAAACAGCACCATCTAGTTCTATGGTAAGCTACAAGGCTTGTGTTATGGATACCTGATTGTTAACACACTACACATATATAATTTTAAATACATATTATAAATATAAACACCTATGACTGAAGTACAAACATTCGTGCTCATCACACAAACGAATGCCTCTAGCGGGACTTGAACCCGTGACCTGCTGGCACAGCAAGTAGGATCACTAGAAAATGAGCCATACGTGTCGGCAATTATATGGTATTTAAAAAAAAAGAGTGCGTGTATGAATGTGTACACGCGCAAGAAGTAAAACTTCTGTAGGTTATCGGTAGGTACTCTATGAAATTCAATTTATGATTTAAACTAGCATTATCCGCGGCTCCGCCCGCGTTCAGATGACCAAAAATCAAATTCTTAGGTGTTACATATTAGTATACTCTTACATTGCAGTTTTTGTATTTTTTCTCAGAAATGAGACATTTCCCTGCGGTAAAAAGTCCTTTATGTTGACCCGGATAACCATACCAAATTTCATCAAAATCCCTTCAGTGGTTTTTCTGTGATGCGGTAATAGACAGACAGACAAAAATTCTAAAAACTATAGATTCGGCCTCTGTATCGATAATAAGATTTTCCAAAAAATATTTAATGTACAGATTCGGCTTAGTTACTAATTTTAACTAAACTAACCTACGAAGCTAAAAAGTTTTTTAGCTCAATATTAATATGAAGAACTATTGACTTAATTTTGTCCTAATAGTGCTAATTTTTAAGAGATTTTATACTTTTATGTTGGTTATGGAGAGATTTATTAATTAATTTGTTAAAAATGCTTAATACTATCGATCTTATGCTGTGATGATTGTTATCCGTAATTTAGAGACAGATTTATTATTAAAATACTTGCTTAGTTTAATTTAAGCTTTTTAAAATATAAGTTTGTATAATATTATTTTGATCTCAAAGTTCAGTAATACCTAAGATTACATAAATAAACACAATTGTAATTTGAATAAGTTATTTTTTTCAAATAATTTTACCAAAACCCACAAAATTCATATAATAGGGGCAAGACGATTCCTAGGATCGTCTTGTCCACACCCCGAGGATCATTTTGGATACCGGGGTGTCCAAGATGATACTTTCGCAAAGATTTAAAAATAGTGAAATATAACAATGAAAACTTGTTTTATTGTTTGTTTTGATTTTGAAAACCTGCCACATCGTATAGTTGAATACGAAAATTGTATAAGGTGGTTATGTTATTGTAACTTTTATAATTTCATATAAAAATAAACATTTTATTCCTCCCCTAACTTCGCTAATGTCAAACAAAGTATCGCGACATCGTTGGTTTTAAAAATAAAAATTAATTAATTACTTAAATTAAAAATAAAAATTAAAGTATTTTTAACTTTTTATTCGAATGCGGATTCTTTATACTATTAAATTTAACAAATAAGTTTTTCGTATGTCTCAGTCGAGGCGCAAATATTTTTAAATATAAAATTTATAAGGGTTACATACCACCCTTATAAATTTGAGATTTTTTAATTAAATCTAATAATAATATTTTTTAAATAAAAAAATATAATATGTATAAATATAAAGTGCTCAATATTTTTTAATAAACAAATTTCGTTTAGCTCAATTACATATTATTCAGATTTAGGTACCTACTTTTGTTGCGTCAATTTTATTTTTCACGAGTGTGAATTTAGTAAATATTTAACAACTTTCGAGATATTATATAGAACAAATACATTAAT